AGCACTGACTGCTCTTCCAGAGGTCCTGAGTTCAATTCCCAGCAACCACATGGTGGCTCACAACCATCTGTAATGGGATCTGGTGCCCTCTTCTGTCCTGTAGTTATACATGCTGTATACATAATAAATAAACAAACAAGTAAATTAAAAAAAAGAACTCTTCTAGGGCCAGGCAGTGGTGATGCACGCCTTTAATCCCAGCACTCGGGAGGCAGAGACAGGCGGATCTTTGTGAGTTAGAGGCCAGCCTGGTCTGCAGAGCGAGATCCAGGAAAGGCGCAAGGCTACACAGAGAAACCCTGTCTTGAAAAACAAAAGAACTCTTCTAGGGTCTGGAGAGGTGGCTCAGAGGTTAAGAGCCCTGGCTGCTCTTCCAGAGGTCCTGAGTTCAATTCCCAGCAACTAAATGGTGGCTCACAACCATCCGTAATGAGATCTGGTGACCTCTTCTGGCCTGCAGGGATACATGCAGACAGAACACTGTATACAAAATAAATAAATATATCTTACTGTGGGCATGTGCACTCATATGCACATACCTAGACTCAGACACACACACACACACACACACACACACACACACACACACACACACACGCTAAAAATAGAAATGGGCAGGCAGTGGTGGCACATGCCTTTAATCCCAGCACACGGGAGGCAGAGGCAGATAGATACTTGGTCTACAGAGGGAGTTACAGGACAACCAAGGCTGTCTTCTTGCCTCAAAAAATAAAAAGTGGTTTAAAAAAATAAAATCCTTTTATTCATTTTTATTTTTTGGCATATTGGTGTTTTGCCTGCGTGTGGATGTTGGATCCTGGAGTGACAGACAACTGTGAGCTGCTATATGGGTGCTGGGAATTGAACCTGGGTCCTCTGGAAGAGTAGTCAGTGCTCTTAACTGCTGAGCCATCTCTCCGGCTCCCTAAACGATTGATTTTGTTGTTGTTGTTTTCCGAGACAGGGCTCCTCTGTGTAAAAGCCCTGGCTGTCCTGAAACTCTCTTTATAGACCAGGCTGGCCTTGAACTCACAAGGTCTGCCTCCTAAGTGCTGAGATTAAAGGCACGTGCCATCACGCCTAATAAAATCATTTTTTTAAAAAAAAATCCCCAAGCAAAACAAAAGCCCCTGCCCCTCGCCAGATCACCGGGCAAAGGCATGAAATCAGAACACTCTTCCCCAAGGGTACTTACAAGGGTTCGGACAGAGGCGGGCCTCCTGAAGGTGCCGCCGGGTCGTCCTCTGTGCTTGGACTGTAGGTACTGGCGTACAAATGAATTACCACCGCGCTCCTGCAGTACCTCAAGCAAAAGGAGCATACCACGTGCTCCATCTTGGTCGCGATGTTGCTGACTACCACCACTTCAAAGTGGCTCAGCGCCTGCTGGATGAAGTCTTCCTCCTGGATCTCATACAAGCAGCTGAGGAGCTCCAGGGACCCACGCTGCAGGGTGGATCCTTCACTGTGAGCCTTGTCTCGGATCCACGCCAACACTTCCTCCTTGACCTGAGGGGAGATGGTCCAGCCCAGATTCTTCTCCAGGTAACATCTCATCTCCTCATTGAGGAGGCCGAACAGGAAGCGGACGGTGAGGGCCAAGAAGTTCCTTTCCGAGAAGCCGTACTCAACCAACGCTCTCCTCACTGTCTCTCTGCCATGCAGGGCACAGTACATGGCTGCGAAGAATTCCTGGAAACTCAGGTGGATGAAGCTGTAGAATTTCTCGCACTTGATGTCCTTCTGGAAGATATTCACGTTGAGGAAGGTGGAGACATCCGCTCCATCTAGGCCGTGTTTACCGAGGTCCTGTTCCTCAAATAGGATCTTCTGATTCCAGAGGCCCTCTGCAGCCAGAGAGACCAGGCCTCTGTGGCTGGCTGGGACTTTGAAGGTCGGGGTCCCTGGCTTGGGCTGCATCAGACTCAGAAGGTAGAACATGTAAACCGCCGTGGTGGTCCTAGACGTTTGTCTTAAAAGCTCCCCGCTTTCCAGCTGCTGCTTGAGGCAGGTGCAGACCACCCAGGACAGCATGGGCACAAAACACATGGTGAAGAGGGGCTCGTTGTCCATCATGAAGCTGAACACTTGGTTCGCTTGCCCAGTGTTATGAAAATACTTGTAGAAGTACTCCTTCCTCTCTGCCTCGGAGAAGCCCAGGATCTCCACGTGCCTGGGGTGTTCCAGCAAGCCATGCAGCTTCTCCAGAGCACAGGGTCGTGTGGTGATGAGCAAAGAGAGTCGGGGCAGAAGCGACCTCCGAATCAGGCTGCCGAGGAGGAGTTCTGTGGGTCGTTTCTCCTCCCAGCAGAGACACCAGGGACCCTTAGCATCATGGAAAGAAGGATGCAGCTCATCGAAGCCATCAATGATGACTAGGAGGCGATCGGGAGCCCGGATGAGGTCCTGGAGGGGTGCACCCGGCTCGGGCCAGCAGCTGGAGATGAGGTCGCGTGCGCTGCACTGGACATGGCTTCTGTTCAGCTCCCTGCAGCTGATGTAGAAGACATAATCGAACCGACCTTGGAAGAGCCTCCCGTCGGCCCAGTCCAACATCACTTTGTGGGCCAGCATGGACTTCCCCATCCCTGCGGCCCCTTGTAACACCACCGTGCCTGGTGGCTCGGGGCGCTCTTCGTCTGGCTCAAAGAGGGTCTCCATTTGGATAGGGCTAGCCTGGTGGCCCCTGGTCCTAGCGTATCCCCATCCTGTACCCAGAAGTTTCTGCTGTGCCCAGACAGGATTTGAGTGTTCCTTTACTAATAGAGGCCGGGTGTAACGGTGGCTCAGGTTGACACATTCACCGAGTCGCGCATTGCGGTCTTCTATTAGCCGGAATTTCCTACGGACATAGTCTTTGTAGGTTGCCTGGGGATCTAGTAGAGAGAAAGGGAAGGTCAGTAAAACACCCATTAGCAACTTTTTGAAAAAGATTTACTCTTTTTTTGTTTTGTTTTTTTGGTTTTTTGGAGACAGGGTTTCTCTGTGTAGCTTTGCGCCTTTCCTGGAACTCACTTGGTAGCCCAGGCTGGACTCGAACTCAGAGATCCACCTGCCTCTGCCTCCCAAGTGCTGGGATTAAAGGTGTGCGCCACCACCGCCCAGCAAAAGATTCACTTTTAATTTGGTTTAATTTTTAGAATATGTGTGGGTGGCTTTTCCTGCATGTACGTCTGTGCACCTCACATACGCCTGTGCTTGCAGAGGCCAGAGGCAGGCATTGGATCCCCTGGGACTGACGTTACAGACTTGCCATGTGGGTGCTGAGACTCGAACTCAGGTCCTCTGGAAGGCAACCAGTGAGTGCTCTTAACTGCTGAATCCATTTCTCCACCCCCTATTTTTAGTTTTGAATTATGTGTGGGTATATGTATGGGTATATGCAAATAGATTCCAGTGCCCACAAAGGCCAGAAAAAGGTGTTGAATCGCCTGACACTTGAGTTAAAGGCTGTTGGGAGCGGCTTGATATGGGTGTGGGTATCCAACTTCTAGTCCCCTGATAGAACAGTAAATGTTCTTAACCACTGAGCCATTTTTCTGACCCTAGACTTTTTTTTTTTCTTGAAACAGGTTCTCATGTAGACCAGGCTGACTTCAAACTTACTATACACTGAAAGATGACTTCAGATCATGACTCCTGTCTCTACCTCACATGTGCTGGGATTCCAGGCGTGCACCGCCACATCCAGTTTATACAGTGCTGGGGATTGAACCCGCGACTTCAAGGATGCTAAGGCAAGCATTCAAACAACTGAGCGGCATGCCCCATGCCCCTCCACTTTTTGTTGTTTGTTTGTTTGAGATAGGGTTTTATATTGTTCGGACTGGCCTCAAACTATCTGTGTAGCCAAGAACAACCTCAAACTACTGATCCTGTTGCTTCTACTTCCCAGGTTCTGGGAACTACAGGCTAGAACCATTGTGCTTTTCTCCCCTGCCCCCCCCCCTTTTTTTTTTGGGACAGGGTTTCTCTGTGTAATGGACCTGGCTGTCCTGGAACTCACTCTGTAGCCCAGGCTGGACTTGAACTCACAGAGATCGGCTTGCCTCTGGCTCCCAAGTGCTGGGATTAAAGGCATGCGCCACCACCTGGCCCACTCTTTCTTTCTTTCTTCCTTCCTTCCTTCCTTCCTTCCTTCCTTCCTTCCTTCCTTCCTTCCTTCCTTCCAGGCTGGTTTCTAACTTTCACTGATTCCCCTGCCCTCCCCCGACCCTGCCCCAGCCCTAGGAATACTGGTGTAAGCCACCAGTCCCAGATGCCATCGGCAATTTACAATGAGTTCAGTGACTGGCAAGCATGGTCTAATTTTCTACTTGTCCCACCAGGTCCTCATTCCGGTGTGCAAGTACAGACGCCTTGCATCTGTTGTGCAGCAATTGATTCTTCTGACTTAAATCATGTCTTCCGCTAGAGAGGCTCGCAAGACTCAATTATTATTATTATTATTAATTGATTCTTCTGACTTAAATCATGTCTTCCGCTAGAGAGGCTCGCAAGACTCAAGTGGTTGCTTTTTCTGCCTTGAAATATGCCCTCCTGGAGAGAGGCTCATAAGACTCCAGGAACTAATGCCACTAGGATCAAGGAGTTCATGAGCCGGACGGTGGTGGCACACCAAATGGCTGACACAAAGAGAACAGTTGATTGAATCAACAGAAACAAAGTTGGGATGAGATGCCTCAGCCAGTGATGGTGCTTGCCACCAAGCTTAACAACCTGAGTTCAATCCCCAGGATTCAATTGATTCCTTCAAATTGTCCTCTGACCTTCACACATGCACCACGGCACGCTCCCCACCACCATGCACCCAAAATAAGTTTAATTGTTTTTTTTTGTTTTTTTTTTTAAGGGACCGGAGAAATGGCTTGCAGAGGACCCAGGTTGGGTTCCTTGCGCCTACACAGCAGCTCACAACCACCTATAACTCCAGTTCCGGGAGATCCAAGGCCTTCTTCTGGCTCATCAGGCATGAAGGTGGTACACATACA